AATTAATGTAAAACTAATTAATTCACCGAAGATTAAGGCACATAACTGACACCAGATGACTATTAGCTAAGCCAGCAAAAGTAACAACAACCCCAAAGTAGCCTACTTGGAGGTAGTACCACTACTAACCTGTACTTTGGTGGGGATGCAGTTGGGGACTTGGTATCGCTGTTCTCCAGCTGTGGTGTGAGACTTGGGCAGCAGATATGGGTATGACAGGGAGCGGTACTTTGGCTTCACAAGCTGGTAATGCAACAGAAAAGAGATCTCATCAACTTTTTCTTCAACAGTCATGAAAATCAAGCAGACTTTGTTTAGTCCAGGTCAGTTCAACCAGGGATCACATCATTTTTGATCACAACTTTCCCAGTTCTGTCATTTGTATTCAGACTGAAGCAGCAGCAGCATGACCCCCAACCTTAGTGAAATTCCACCGCTGGATGAAGTGTCTGGCCACATCCCGAGCTGCTTTCCCATGAACCACTGAGGCGATGTCATGCCAAGGCATTCTGGGAGTTTTGTGCCTGTCTATGAAATCTAAAGAAGCAGAAACAGGAAGTTCAGACCTAAAGAAAAGCATCCTGCATCAAGAGTGAGACCATCAATGATGTGCTTACCATCGAAAGGCTTATCTAGCTGAATCCAGTCCTTGTGCACAAAGTTGCAGTAGTCTTTCCCGTGCCAGAATCGCGTGTTCCCATGCAACTCTCCGACCCCCGCAGGCTCATTTTGCACTGGGACAGAGGCTATAAAACAATTGATATTGATCAATTATCTATCATCAAAAGAAGACAATGAACTATTTCAGTGAGTTCACCCAACCTGGGTTCATTTTTGACCAGTTCTTATTATACTTATTTCAAACCATTATATGGTCAATATACAATGATAACAACGGTCTCTTCTTTGAGCATTTCAGTTTTCCTGATGTTGCACCTGTGCTGTTTAAACAACGCACCATTTTCAAACATGGTGGGATCTTCAAGGATACTGCTGCTGACAAAAATACACATCCAAGCACACTCCACAGTTAAACTGTATATCAGAGATGGATGCTCGAGTCAGCACGGTACGTGAGATTTATTGTCCAAAGTGATACAAATAAGGACCATATTTTAATAGTGGCCATGGATCAATAGAGGCCATAAACCGATCTGGAAAGTGTTTACTGAGGTCATGAATCAAATGAAAAGCACACTTTCATACAATCAAACAAAAGAAATCCAGCCATTTAAAAATAAGACTGGTTTAATACCTTTACATGAGCATTGGATTTTTATTAAATTATTAAATGTTGTTTATGTAGCGCCAATTAACAAAAGCAGTTCTCTTCAAGCTCACCTGAAGTCGTTTTATACGTTTTTATGTGGAGTAAAGATCCCACACGTTGGACATGGACTCTTTTAACAAGCATGTAATGATTACATTAATACAGTAACACAGTAATAGATGATGTTTTTAGTACTATATGTGTTAGTCTAATGTGGTTGTATGGGGTCTGCATTGACCTTCTGTGTTGTAAGTTATAA